CTTTCTTTCTTTCTTTCTTTCTTTCTTTCTTTCTTTCTTTCTTTCTTTCTTTCTTTCTTTCCTTCCTTCCTTCCTTCTCCTCCTCCTCTTCCTCCTCTTCCTTCTTCAAGACAAGGATCTTGTTGGGTAGTTCATACTGGTAAGAGTAAGAAAGCTGTTAGCTCTCCTCCTGTGCCTCATGAGTGCTGGGATTAAAGGGGGCACCTCCATGCCTACCACCATTTTAATACCTATTTTGAAAAAGTGTCTCTTTCACATTGTTCTTCTTTTGTTTGCCAAAAGAGTCACTTCAGCCCAATTTGTAAACAAAAGCAGTGACACTGACATACTGTTTGGATAACCAGCCTGAAACTAGGTTAGGAGGAGTTATTAAATCAGGTCTGAGAAAAGCAGTGTGTTGGTTTTCAGTATGCTATAGTTCTGCCTAATAGAGAATTTCTAGGAACTTTCTTTATTTAATTATTTATTTATCTATTTAGAGAAAGGATTTCTCTGTGTTATTGTTCCTGGCTGTCCTGGAACTCACTCTGTAGACCAGGCTGGCCTTGAACTCACAGAGATCTGCCTATTTCTGCCTCCCAAGCTCTGGGATTAAAGGGATGTACTACCACCATCTGGCTAAGCATGCTCTCTTTTAATAACATTTATTTACTTTTATTTTGTGTGCATTGGTGTTTTTCCTGAATGCATGTTTGTGTCAGATCTTGGAGTTACAGTCAGTTGTGAACTGCCATGTGAGTGCTGTGATTTGAACCTGGGTCCTCTGGAAGAGCGTTTAGTGTCCTTAACTGCTGAGCTATCTCTCCAGCATCTCTAGAAACATATTAATTTAGCATTTCTAAAGTTACCTTAACATGATGTCAAAGTCTTTTTGTATGTGTACTAGCAGTTATTTATAATATTTCCCATTATCCAGGCTCACCCTGTGACCCCACCTTCATCCTGGGCTGTGCTCTCTGCAACGTCATCTGCTCCATTATTTTCCAGAATCGCTTTGATTACAAAAATCAGGATTTTCTTAACTTGCTGGACAAATTTAATGAAAACCTCAGGCTCTTGAGCACACCATGGATACAGGTGACGTCAAAGGCTTCCTTCCTAATGTCATCTGGCCTCTTTCTTCTGAGAAGGCCCCGGTGTTACATGGACTAAGCTATGGAGTGGATGTTTCCAGATGTTTTAGAGATGTGATGCACAGCTTCTTTCCTTCCTTCCTTCCTTCCTTCCTTCCTTCCTTCCTTCCTTCCTTCCTTCCTTCCTCTCTGCCTCCCTTCTTCCATCTCTCTCTTTCTCTCTCCCTTTCTTCTTTTTTTTTACCTATGTATTTTTCAGATTTATGAAAAATATTTTATGAATGGTTATAGGTGCCCACAGAGGCCAGAGCTGGAGTTATAGGTGGTTCTGAGCTGCCTGATGTAGGTTCTGGGAACTGAAGTTCAGTTCTTTAAGATGAACATGTTCTCTTAACCGCTGAGCTGTATCTCCAGTTGTTGATACAATCAGGTTTTTACTTTTTCCTTTGTATTTTTTTTTTGTGATCTGTAGGCAGAAAGTGTTTGCTTAGTCACTTTTCTAAACTATATTCTTTGTCATGTTTATTCTCCAAAGTCTCTGTTTCTGTAGCTTCTGATAGAAATTACTTTACTAAGAGTAGCTGCATGTTATAGATGACAAAGAAGATAGAAAATATAGAAAAGAGAAGGAAGGAAGAAGGTGATAAGATAGAATTACAAAAAAGAAGAAAGGGAAAAAAAGCAAAAGCTGACAAGTAGAAAAGACAGGGAGGACAAATTCCCACCAGACTGGTTCCATGCCCAGACATTCAGTGCTAGAGCTCAAGAATTAGCAGGCAGAGAAGCTTAGAACTGTTTCCAGGTCTTCTCTTAGCTTGTGCCTGTCGTAGGTGTACCCTGGGTTTTTTTAAAACACCAATGTATGTGGATGGTTTGGAGTGGCTTGATCTCTCCTCAGCTCTTCCCATGGTCTTAGTGTTCTGCCAGAAACTTTAATTGTATTTTTCCCTACAGCGGCACTGTGTTGCCTAGTGGCATTATAAGGGTATTTGATAGTTTTTACAACTTTTCCACCTGATGAGTTCTGAGTTAGATGAAACACAGACAAATGGTTTGCCTAGTCCTTCAGCTCCCTCCCTTAACCCCAGTTAGGTTAAAGCAGAAAAACAATCTCTTTCCCCAAGAATCAAGGGCCATAGTTCTACATCGTGGAAACAGAGCGCTTGTTTAAGGATGCCACTGAGACAGGACATAGGTGACCCAAGAGCAAAACAATGCTACAGTGCTTTCCTACCCCACCAATTAAAAAACCCTCAACTTTTCGTTGGTTTATGTAAACATTTGACTATTTTCTATAGTTTTAACAAAGCTGGTTCAGACAGTTTTTGATTTTTTTTTTTGGTGTGTGTGTGTGTGTGTGTGTGTGTGTGTGTGTCTGTATGTGTATGTAGAGCTGTGTGGAGGGATGGGTCCTGACTACCCACAAAGAGAAGGTCTCCACATCAGT